CGAACCCAGCATAATATAAACCCTATTTAATTCCTTATATTAAATAGGGGAATTTGTCGGCCCAATACATTGGTTTCGCAGACCAAACGGATGTCATAATTTTCTCTAGTTTATTTGATCGAGCCTCACCCTCAATTCTTGTGTTCATCCTTCGGGATAAATACAAGATTTGAGGTAAAGTGCTCTTTCATCTAAACTATGAAAATTATGGGGTTAGTTTGACTTCATCTTTTTCGAAACTAAAATTTTTAAAACGTCCTTCCGAAGCGGGCAACGGGATTTCAATTCTGATGTCCGACAGCTTCTTACGGGCAAACCCCACACCAAAAATAGTGCCGACAAATCATAAGTTAAGACTCGCCAATTATATAAACAAATAGTCACGTAGATCCAATTTATATGTTTTTTAATAATCATAATTATAGCTAATTTTATAATATTGATTCTTAATTTCTACATATTAATAAGGGGACATTTTTTATATCAAAACTTTTGATAGATCTCTCGAAGATTTTTCTTTGAATGCCTTTGTGTTTGCTTATCATTTTTTTTCAAATCACCCTTCTCTTTCAAAAGACTTGATCAAGCCTTTTCTAAATTAATTTATCAAAAAAAATATTGAGATTTAATCTCTCCCCCTTCCTTGTAACTCTTTAGCCCTCATTCATATCTCTTATCCAAAGGTAGAGTTATAATTTTTTTATAAAGTTCCAAATATGAAGATAAATGAAGTACACACATGATAAAAAATTTGCTTTATTAAATGAAGCAAAAAAAAAAATATAGGAACATATGTTTTTATTATTTGTCTATTTGGGGAGAACATCACAAATCTTAATTTTCATTATTGATGTTATGGATCCTGAATTGTCTTTTGAGAACACGTCTCGAGAGTTAAAGTCGAATGAATGAGAAAAAAAAGTGAACCAAAACATACTGCGGAAAGAATCAGGGCAGTCCAAATGGTCTGCCTTTCTTTGGCCGTCCATTTGTCTCTTCTTTATAAAAATGTATTATGTACAATTACAGAAAGAATGAAATATTTATGAAAATCGTTTTTAATATAATTAATATTATAATAAATTGTATGAATTTTATTTAATATATGTATTACATTTTAAGTTTTTATATGACAGTAATTGGTTGATCGGTTCGCTAGAATGCGGCCAACTGATGTGATCGGTTAGGCAGCGACCGTGCCTCATGGTTGGCCTATCAAGGCGTTCAGTCGAACGACGATCTCGTTCGTGGCGACAAAAGCAGATCGGTCGTCCAATCTTGATCAAGGGATTTTGCCCGTGTTTCGGTCGGTCGATTGGTCGACTGATGAGTCAATTTGTTTTTGTTGGGCGAGCCGGGACTCACTTTTCGCTTTAGCTCAAGTCTTACAGGGCCTACGTCTCATCCATCTGGTAAGTTCGTCTCCTCAGACAAACATTTTTATTTGCAAGGTCTTAAGAGAATATTGTTGTTGTTTATGTGAGCTATCTGATTAGACTTGTTGCAGAATGAATTACGCCTCACATTTGACAGATCTTATTGCAATCGGGCAAGGGAGCATCTCCAAAGATTTGATATGTCCTGAATTTAGAGCCATGAATTCAGCTACGTAGCAGTGACTTGTCGATCTATTGTGTAATCATGAGAAAGTTTTTATTTTTTACCCTTTTTTTTTTTTAATTCTTGTTGGTACCTCTAGTATGTACATACATCTAAATATTTATAATTTCCAGAAAGTCATTTTCTCCCATACTAAAAGTGAGGAACACTTCTGAAACCCTACTTAGCACCACGCTATTGTACAAAACAAAGCGGTGCGTTACTAGAGCTGTCAAAACGGCTCATTGTTCGCGAACAACTCGTGTTCGACTCGTTAAGAAGCTCGTGTTCGGCTCTTTAATTTTGTTCAATAAGTTAACGAGCCGAACACGAACTAAGATGTGTTCGTTCGTGTTCGTCTCGTTTTGGCTCGAAATACTACTCATCAAGTTTATATATTAAGTAGTATTTTAAGAAAATCTAATTGACTACAAGGCTATAAAGATTTATAACCAATTAAAATATTAATTAAGAAAATAAAATAAAATTTATTAAATTAGATTCAAATGTTGTTTTAATATAAATAATAATTTTTTAAATCTTGCTCAAACCCTTATTGTATTATGACTACATGATTAGGGTTGTACATAGTTTTTAAGATGAAAAAAAAAACGAGCCGAACACGAGCGGCTCGTTTACACCCCTATGCGTTACAATCAATACTGGTCATATTTATTTTCTCCATTTACGTTATCTTCAACTCTTATTATCCACAGTGACAAAGAAGGGCCGAAAACGAAACACGCACATCCACAAAACTGAAGACTCCTCTTCCCTAACTCCTCCCAATCCCCCAGCTAATCTTACACTGACAAAACGAAGAAGACGAAGCAGAACAATTGACCAAGAAATCAGGGAGGAGGAGCAGAGAGAAAGAGAAACGAAGCGCTCAGAACTCAACATGTCTTCTCCTTGCCGCGTCTTCAAGACTGGAAATCATGCCGTCAAGCTCATCACCGTCCTTCAGAACGACTTCCGGAGCTCAGCCGAGAAACCTCCACCCAAGCCCTTACTTGTCTCAACCCCCTGCGAGGAAGACGAGTTCCCTGTTTTGATCTTCCTCCATGGTTTCGTTCTCTATAATTCCTTCTACTCCCAGCTCCTTCAGCACATCTCTTCCCATGGCTTTATTGTGGTCGCCCCTCAGGTTTTTTCTTACTCGTCCCTTACAAGATGAGATTTTTACAGTCTGCGGTTCTGGAGCTTTATAAATTGCATCTTCCGAGTTCCAATTTTATTTATATATCTAACGCTTAAACTTAGATATTTACATTTATAGCTTGATAATATCCTAAAATTATGCATGAAGTAAATTTCACTTTGGAAGAAGTTAGAAGTTAAAGACTTGGAATGCTATACTTGTAAATACCTAAGTTTAGGTGCTAGATTTGTGAATATATAAACATTATGTAGTATGTATGTACATGGCTTTCAAATTTTCAATATTTGAACATTGCAAGGAGGACTTTCATGTTAATGTGTAATGTCGTGATTTAGTTTAAAAGAGTGACCCATTTTGAATAGAGTTAATCTTAATTAACAAGTTTACTAAATTGGTTAAAAATCTCAACTTGAATCAAGTTTGATTTAACCCAAGCTCAACCTAATACAAACGACGAACAATTGAGTCATGCTAGTTTAGAATCAATGGGACATTGGATAGGATGATCCCAATTTAATTGAATTGGAAGATAATAATTCATTCATCAAATTAGTTGATGAGTTTGATCCTGCCTGGATTGGTAAAGGAGCCCGAATTTGGCCCAAATCCTAAATTCAGATGATGTGTTATATTTAATATTGCGACCCCTATCATCATACATACTCTGAGCATGAAATAGAGGTGTGAGTGAGCCAAGTCGGCTCATGCTCGACTCCCTAATGGGCTTGAGAGTCGAGCTTATAGAGCTTTGAGTTTGAGCTCGTCGAAATATAACTCATTGGCTCACGAGCCAGCACAACTAGTTGGATTGCAATTATGTCAATACCTTCTCTAGTGAGCACTTGTAACTCTACTTGTTCTTTTCTACGTTTGATCACTTAATGACTTCTCGGATGACCTCCAATGACAATTTCAATCGAGCTCATGAGCCGACTCACAAACTTGCTATTAGGCAAATGAGCTGAGCTTGAAGTTTTTATTGAAGCTCGACTCGAGCTTGAGCTTGTATTTTAACAAACAAGCCGAGTTTGAACAAATTTTTTGGCAATATAGCAATTAGTGGTTTGCATCATGTTTGTGCAATGGATGGTGAAATTAGTGCTTGTTTTCAGCCCCCTTAGATGAGATATAAATTTCTTTCTATATGTATTATGAAACTTTTATTCATAAATTATCTTATAGCTATGCAAAATATAGACATTTCACTCATTCTGAAATTTTGATTCGCAACCATATACTTGCTTGCATCCTTCATTGCAGCTCTACACCATTGCTGGACCTGATTGCTCCGAAGAGATTTCTGATGCTGCAAAAACAACAGATTGGCTAATTAAAGGACTGGCTCACGTCCTCCCCAATAATGTTCGACCAAATTTCAGCAAAGTAGCCATTGCAGGCCATAGCCGCGGAGGCAAGGTTGCTTTTGCTCTAGCCCTAGGCTATGCCAAGCCCTCGCTCACCTTCTCCGCTCTAATGGCGGTCGATCCGGTCGACGGGATGGATAAAGGAAAACAAACCAATCCTCCCATCCTCACCTACATTCCTCACTCTTTCGAGCTAAAAATGGCGGCTTTGGTGATCGGTTCAGGCCTCGGCGGGCTAAAAAAAAATCTCTTCTTTCCTCCGTGCGCTCCCGAGGGAGTGAGCCACCAGAGTTTCTTTGATGAATGCAAAGCTCCTGCTTGCCATCTTGTGGCTAAGGATTATGGTCATTTGGATGTTTTGGATGATGAGACCAAAGGGATTAGGGGAAAAGCTACTTATTGCTTGTGTGCAAAGGGGAAGGCAAGGGAGCCTATGAGGAATTTTGTGGGTGGAGTTATGGTGGCGTTTATGAGAGCTTATTTGGATGGCAACATGGAGGATTTGTGGACTCTAAGAGACGATCCAGAACATGCCATACCTATTGTGGTATCAATAGCATGTTTTAAGGAATGAAAATTTGCAAGAGGTGCATCAAAATATAAATACAATGGATGGTATGGTTGTTGTTATAAATATTTGAGGTTGGATTTTAAGTTACACATGAAGGTTTTGGTTTTATGTGCTGGAAATTATAAGATGCATGGCTTTGGTTATTATGAAAATTATTAAGGCATTGAAGTCACCATAGCCATGTGAATGTATATTATGTGTATTATAAAAGGTTATTATGTTGATTATAGCCTTTGTAGATTCATTTCACCTCATTTTAATATTTTTTATGATGTCTAGAAGAAAATGACATTGGAAAAATGTTAGAAGGCTAATGAAAAATCCTTTTATTCTATAGAAATGGAGCCTCAATTTTTATGCCAAAATACTTTGAAATATTTTGTATAGAAACAATTTTTTTTAGAAACATATTTACTTATGGTTTGATTGCATGTTTTCTTGAAATTATAATGGCATTTGCGTATTTAAGTCAGGCTAAGGATGTTAAATTAAACACTTATTAGGAGATAACCCAATTTCTCTTTTTTTGCTTTATTGAGTTATTGAGTAATTTTTTGCTTGTCTATATCTCTAGAGCCATTGATCTATTACTAATGTTTAAGAGCACATTGATTATGAGGGGATGATTCTTTTTCCCTTGGGATCTCTTACTCAATGAGTTAGTAATTTTCACAATTTATATTTCATTATTCTTTATGGTTGCAACGTGAATTAGAATCCGATTTTCTATGTTCAGTACCACTTCCTCCAATGATGATTTCTTCTCCATAAAATGGGTATTAGAAGTGAATCTAGGAGGGTTGGATGGTCTTCGGTTGCCACGACCCTAGTTATTCCAATTGTTTTCAAGGTAAAGTTGGTTGCTATCTGATTACTGGTTTCTTAGCCCTTGGTTATTATGGTTCCAATTAAAATTGGAGTGATTTTTCCATCCAGGGTTATAGATATTAAAATATGGGTTATTGAATCTATTTTCTATGGCATTTAATGACTCCAAAAAAAATAGTGCTAGAATCTCCTACTAGTCCATAACTAGGTTGGGATCCTTGCACTAAGTTCAACTTAAAGTTATCTTATTTCTTAGAAATAGTAGCCACTTGTGAGGTTATGATTGTTAAGACAAATGTGTCGTGGACATTAGTTACTTTCTTAGGGTTAACTCTATCTAAAGGTTATACAAAATTGTTCGTGGCCATCTTCTCGATTAGTGATTAAACTGCCTTGAAAAGCTTTCACATAAGCGACCCTCAACTATAACATCTATTATCGATGCCAACAATCCCATCAACCCATTATAAAAAGCATGAATTATAAGATAATCAGGTAAAATATGGTGTGGGCACTTCCTGAACATCGTTTGAAACCTATCTCAAACCTCATAAATATATTTACCAATTAACCGACTGAAATATGTAATAATATTCCTAAGATTAGTATTCTTTTTTAAGTTGCGACATACTTTGCTAGAAATTTTTGAACAAGATCAATTTAAGTAGCTATAAATCCTAAGCTAAATAATTCAACCAAGCATTTGCTTTATCCTCGAGAGAGAATTGAAAGAACCTAAGTTTAAGAGCATCGTCCAAGACACCATTATATCTAAAGGTCACACATAAGTCTAATAAACTAGCTATATAGAGATTGACCTCTGAAATGATTATTTTGGATCATCTGAATGATATGTGTCAACATGAATAGTAGGGTTATTAATACCCCTATGGATTTCATTTATCACAGGATTGATGAACTCCCTATGTGGTCTGGGTATTGATCATGGTCTTGCTTCCAGTTATGGTACCCTCGGTCACTTTCCCACTCATCTCGAGACCGAGTTGTTGTTCTGGTGATCGATGGAGATTGATTGTCCTTCTTCTTCTATGGTTTTCCTCGTTCTTTCTGCTTCTTTGTGGGATGGTCGGAAGACTCCGACTTACTCTTTGAGGAGAGTTCTTCTTCAGAGAGTATGTGCTCATTCGTTATCTCCAGTACCTCTGCAAAAGTAGTAGATTTAAATATGTTTAGGTTATACTTGAACCACTTGCTTCGAGTTCCTCTTTTCAAAACTGTTTTGACTATATCAGCCTTCAGATCTCCAACTTCTAGCGTCTCGTTCTAGAAGCGGGTGGTGTAGGCCCGTGGCTCTTCTTTCACCCTGCTTGAGGTCGAGTAGGGTGTCTGAGTATTTTCTTGGCTTATGTATATTTGAGAAGTGCATACAAAGAGTCTTTTTAACTAATAGTAACTTGGAATGGTTTCAGTTGACAGACCATTGAGCCACTGAAGAGCCGACTCCTTCATGCTAGTAGAAAAAGACAAAAAATTATTCATCGATCTGAAACAGACCGACTGATGACTCGAACGTTACTACATGGTTGATCGGGACGTTCCTCCCATTGTAAGAATCCAGGCAAGGGATCCTTAGCTTAGGCAGACGTATCACCTCTCTGATTTGTTGAGTAAAAGCCCTTCCTGCAAGCGGTCGGACAGGCACTCACATCCACTCTTCTCATCACTTGTTCGTTTGTGTGGTTGGGTTTGGGACTCACCTTGTCCCTTTGCCTGTTGGTTGCTGACTTGATTGTCTGGAATAGGCGGGTTCCCCAGTGTCCCTTTGTGTTCGAGCCCCTCTGAGGTTTGATTTCCAGATAAGGCCTCTGCTTCTTTCGGGTTGTTACTACCGAGAGTATCTCAAATTGCTTTATCATGAGGGTTATTTGAGTTTGTAGGCTCTGGACTTGTGTATGGACGTCTGGTTGCATATCATCTCTACATGGTTCCATTCGTGCTATCTCTCTTTGGGAGTTTTCTCTTTCACACTGTTTTTCACTTCTCATATGTTACATGATCTGTGTTCACCACACCACCTTTTAGGATGTTGAATCCTATATTGTTCTTTGTGAACATGTCCTAAGAGTTAGAACAAGTCAAAAGAGAGAGGGAGAGAGTACAACTAGTTCAGAATTCTCTGTAGAGAAACCCGGAGGAGCCCCTGCACTCGTATTTTTACCTCTAATTTATAGAGAATTATTTTGTACAATTTAAAAAAGAAGAGAGCAGTTATGAAAACCGTTCTTAATACAATTGATGTTCAAATTAATCGCATGGATTTCATACCATATCAACATTACAATTTGAAATTTAATATGATGTATATTGTTTGGTCGACTTGCTTGAACTCAGTTGATTGAGGAGACCGCAACATAGGTTGGTCGATCGAGGCCCCTGGTTGAGTGTTGATCTCGTATGCCGCGACAAAAGTGAGTCGGTCAATTGGCTGCGATTAAAGATCCTTGTCTGCTCTCTAGTCAGTAGGGTCCGCAAGCGTGATCTATCGTTTGAATCTCTCTCCATATGTGTCAGTTGATCCTTGCTTACGAGGTTGGTTGTGGACGGTAGAACACCTCGATCGTCTGACCATCGTATGGGCCATTTGAATGCTTTGAGATCCGTGCTAAAAGCTTTGATGTATACACAACTTCAAATTCATGCCAAGCATACATATTTTTAGCCCATTATTCAATTTGGTATTAAAAAAAAATAATATAATTAAAATATTTGCTGACACAAATAGCATTGTTGTCTGTGCACGCAACATGATAAAAAAGAAGGGATGAACAAAACCAAATTACTAGCCGGAAAAAATTAATACAACACAATTAAACCATTTAGGCCTATTCCAGATAACTTTTTTTTATAATTTTTTATAATAAATATGAATAATTATATTTAGACACCCTGAAATATTAATATTTACAAATTTACCACTCAGGTGATTTTCTTAAACAATCGAATTGATGTATTTATGCATCAAACTATTGAAAATTTGATAAAAAATGAAAAATATGGGTTAGGATTTTACCATTAATTTTGAAATTTTAATGAGAATTTGAAAAATGGATAAAAGGGGATGGTTGATTTGTAAATAGCAAGTTTTAGATGATCTGTCTGTAATTGCTCCTAAATATAGTTTATTCTCAATTTTTTAAAATCTCTATTTCTAATTATAAATGATTTTGTTTTAACAAATATTGCTGATATTGCTTTTAATATGTTTGAGAAGATATAGAAATATGATTATTCCACATATTCTCGTCATTTTTTTCTAAGAAAAATAAAACTTTTTTGGAAATATTTTTTTGCAAAATTATTTTTAGGAAAAAAATAAATAATAATAACTTCCACCACCATTTCTCACATCCAAGTCTCAACATGAGACATCCTTTTCCTCATTTGTAAGCTTTGGTGTGTGCTAGAAGATTCACAGTGGTAAAGTAATAAATTATCATTTTAGCGTTGTATGAAAATTTAGCATATACGGGAATAGTGAAGATGAGTAATAGGAGGAGACACCTCGACTTTTTACGTGAAAAACTCCAGGAAGAGAAAAAAATCACGGGATTAGCCCAGTTGAAATAATCTACTATGTAATTTTAAGAATACGGGTCTATATTTCTCTAAAATTAGATAAGATAGAGTTACAAAGTCGATATATAATGACGACATAGTAATTATACATATAATGAACCACAAAGGTTGTGGTCGATGGCTACAAAGGAAGGAGCACGCCATGAATGATGTAGAAGGTGACTATAATGCAGCTTGTCGTAGAGACCGTAGTTGCAAGTTGTGATAGTAGTTGGTCATGTAAGTTGTAGATTATTGCTTCAGGAGTGTTTGTTGGCCGCAAAGGCCGTAGTGGAGAGCTGCGAGAGTTGTAAGTCACACAGGTTGTAGTGGTGAGTTGCGATGATGTTTGTAGATCACAAAAACCAAAGTTGGGAGTTTCATGACTCGTGATAACGTTCATAGGCCATCGAGGTTAGAGCATAGAGCTGTGCGAGCTGTGGTAACGTTCGTAGACCATAGAAGCTAGAGTTGAGAGTTGCATAAGTTGTGAGTCACATGGACAGTAGTTGGCCACATAGGCCATAGTAGTGAATTTTGATGACATTCATAGGCCACAAAGACTGTAATCAGGAGTTGTATGAATATGTGATAACATCCATAGGTTGCAAAAACTTGAGTTGAGAGCTGCATGAGTTGTGATAAAGTCCGTAGGCCGCAGATGTTGGAGTTGAGTGTGTGTGAGCTATGAGTCACGTAAGATGTAGTATATCACATGGGTCACAGTGTTGAGCCGCAATGATGTACATAGGCCGCGAAGGCATGCGTTATGAGATGTATGGGTTGTGAATCACATACATTATAGTTAATCACGTAAATTATAGTGGTGAGTTATAATAACGTTCATAGACCACAGAAGTCGGAGTTGGGAAGAGGAGCTGCAATAATGTTTGTAGGCCATAGAGAATGGAGTTTGGTGTTGTTCGAGCGGTAAGCTATATAGGTCATAGTTAATCACATCAATCATAATTGTGAGTTGTAATAAATTTCATAAGTCATTGAATGAAGTCAAGAGCTGCACCAATTGTGGACCACATAGGTTATGGTTGATCATATAGGTTGTAGTAACATTTATAGGTTGCCAAAGCTAGAGTTGGGGGGGCTACAAAAACGTTTGTAGATTACAGAGGCCAGAATTGTGAGTTCTGAGAGCTGTGAGTCACGTAGGTCACAATTAATCAAATAGGGCATGACAAGGAGTTAAACTCTGCTGTGAGTGTATTGTTATACCATCTTCCGGGTGCGTTGCAACATTCTCTTCGAGGTATCATCATTACACCGTCTTTGGGGTGCATCCATGCACTATATTCGTGATGAAATCATTACATTATCTTTGCAGTTCGTCGTTACACCATCTTTTGGGTTTGTCATTACACCGTCTTCAAGGTTTCGTTGTTGCACCGTCGTTTGCATGTGTTCCTGCATTAACTATGGGATGGTATTGTTACACCATATTCATGATGCATTTTTGCATCGTCTTCGAGATGCATTCCAGCAACATCTTTGGGGTGTGTTCCTACACCGCCATTAGTGTATGTTGTCTTACCATCTTCAGAGTGTGTTGTCGCGTTGTCTTTAAGGTGGCACTATTACACCGTCTTCGATGTTCGGTGCTGCACAGTCTTTGGGATGTGTTGCTGCATTTTTTGGTGCTTTGTTACTTCACAACTTACTACAAAATTCTGCAGTGCACATCACAATTTAGCTCCTTCTTTCGATCGTTCTTCAAGCTTTAATCTATGTTCCCTCAAAAGAGGGACGTAGAGCTCTAATGAGACTCTGCAAATAAAGAAGAAATGTGAACCACTCCATCCGACGGGCGGAGAGGTTCCCTTGATTAGACGTTGTTCTATGGATATTTCGAATACTTTAATGATATCATAATTGAGTAATCTTAAGCTCGTTTAATTCACTTTTTCAAGACGATCGATTCAACTATAAATATGTCGGATTTGAAATTCATTTGACCCGTGGATTATGTAGTGAAAGTTTCTAAAAACGACTTAACGACTTAATCCAGACTTGATTTGACTCGGGTTAAAACAACTTTAATGTCTTTTGGTCCATCATGTAGAGCCGATCAATTTTAGTATAAATTTGTTGAAATAAAAATTTTAGATAATTTTTAATTGAAATTTAAATATATTTATTTAATTTCATGATGCAGCTCAAAATTTATATCAGATCATATAAATCTATTAGCATCGAATCAAGCTCATTCCCCTTTCAATACTAGACCGAAAGTCAAGCGACAGAGCATGGCCTACGCAAAAGAAATTTTAAAAAAAAAAAAAAAAAAATCCAAACTTTGAAAGACTTTTCAGTTCACCCTTTTCTCTCGCCATGTTCACCCCGACGCTCTGTTTTCCAACAGTAACACATCAGAAATCTAAAAACTGCTACCAATCGAAAACCCTATCTGAAAAGCTCCCAAAGTTCTCTCATTTAGAAACCTAGAAGCAGGGGATAGAAAAAAAAAAAACAATCTTTTTTATGATGATACAGAAGCATATGTATACGTACATGGAAAATGACACATCAATGGAAGAAGCAGAAAATTATCTGCCTCGCTTTCATCGCTCTTTGTCTCAGCTGTCACAAGAAAAGTTAAAGCTAGAGAAAAATTACAGTTCAGTTGCAGAACCAGCAGCTCCATCTCCATTCCTGTCTTTTTAAGTTTCAGGGCATGAAGAGCTTGTTGCCGCATTTGCATCGCCATGCTTCAGGGTAGTATTCAAGCGGGATAGTTTTCCCAGGCTGGATTGCCACGTGGATTGGCCGGCAGGGTAAGCAGCTACCACATCGCCACCGGCATGTCGGCGATTTCGGCAAGAAGCCGCCGGCCGGCCGCCGCATTCTCCCTTCTCATGAAACTAGTTTCTTCCTTCTGAACTATTCCTCCCAAGCAGAAACCTGAGTTTTTCCCCAAAATGAAGAGAAAAAAAAAAAAACTTGTGAAAGGAGAACACTTGAATGCTGCTAAAGCTGCTACCTTTTTTAACACTGAAGGTTAAAAATTACATATTGCGAGAAATGAAACTTGTTTGCATGATATCAAGTAATGGATTTTGATGGTTTGGGTAAATTACGAAGAAGACGGTAAAAAAGAAGAGTTTTTGGTCTCTTTTTTTATCAGAACCAGACCGAAAGGAGAAGATCTGCATGCTTGCACTGACGGGGGTTTCTATAACAGGGAAAACAGCAGCGTAGGGGGGAAATGGGGGGGGAGGGGACCAGACTAATGCTAGAGACCATTAGGTAAGACTAGGATGTGGATTCTGTGGCCAAGGATTCAGCTAATTGCATTGAAGGAGAAACTAAAAAAAGACCATTTTTGTTTTTTTTTGGTCTGTGACTTTTGCTAACAGTAGGAGAATTGTGTTTTGAGGAAGATGATCTTACTTACCTATGGCCGTGGAGAAGAAGAGGAGAAAAGCTAAGCCGGCTAAGAGGCCGCAAACACGGTGCCGTCGGAGTGCCATGACGAAGCTCGGCGGCGGTGAGGGGCGTTCAAATGCAGAGAAGCAGTGCCAGAGGACAAGTGAAGCTTTTTGGTGAGGTTGAGGAAGGAAATTGAGCAGAGGCGTGTTGGAGAAGAAGATGCGCACACGCATACGCACACCCACGCACACGCACTGTGTGGGAGAGAGAGAGAGGGAGAGTAAAATTGCTTACTTTAAAGATGAAGGAGGAGAAATATAGGGAGGCAAGAGGGGTGGTTTGTATACAAACCGAAGGAACTTTCTACTTCGTTGATTTACTACTGGAAAGCTTGGAAGATCGCGATATAGAAACAGTAGTTGGCCTCCAGATTGGAATAAACTACGAATTATTATGTGATTGAAGTTAGGACAACAATTGGAAGAAGGGTGCCCTGTTTTTTAAGTTATGATTGATCCGTGTGGTTCAACTTTATTATTATTATTTTATTTTTGAAGAATTTAAGTGAATTTAATCGAAAATGCATATGGCATGGGTGAAATATTGAATTTAAGATGTCTTGATTGAAAGACAAAGCTCTCATTGAGTAGAGCTTTAGCAAATTATAAGGGAGGAAAGAGAGACATTCAATCCTTTATAAAAGAAAATTGTATAATAGGTGCACATAATAGTTTTTTAATGCTAAAATGTGAAATATGTTGTTTGGAAACAAAATAAAAAATTCATTGTGTCGAATTTGAATGCTTATCTTGCTCGAAAGAAAATTACTTAAACTACAGTTAAAACTTGTGTTTTAAGTTATCAAATTAATCGCCAACTTTTTTATAATAATTTGTTTAGTGAATTATTCTGGAATACATGCATATTGATTGTAAAAGAAATAAAGAATCTCAATAAGCTAGTCTCGAGCGAGCAAGCAACCAAAAAAAATTTTAAGAACTTCAACTTCCTTGTCTTCACATCAATTCTAGACATTAGTCAAGTTTAAGAGAGGTTGAGGCTTTGTTTCATTAGGCTTTTCATTTTATAATAGCATGCTAAAAAGTTTTAAGAAAATTATTCTTAAATGTTTCAACGGAGTAAATTTCCTAAAAACAAAATAAATGGAGTTTTTTTAAAAAAGAGTTTCTGAAAAATGCACAACAATCAAACAAGTTACCAAGTGAACGAATGAGTTTTCTTAACATGAAAAATATAATGGAAGCCCCGAGTCTTCCATAAGATAAATTTTAGAAATTTTGGTGTATTCATAGCATAAGATATTATTGTCATATGTTTTATGATAATTAGAATAAAGGCTTGTCATAAATTTCAATATTAGATATCTAAATTATCTAGGTGTCATGTATTGAAACTCGTCCTAAGAGTTGCACAACATTCAAAAAAGTATTTTAAAAGTCTTGCACACATAAAAAAAGTGTTTTATTGATAGTATTTTTTAAAGATGATTGTTTATTTCATATTTGGATAGAAATGTGACATACATTTTAGCCAAAATACTTATTAGAATGCAAGAGGTTCACATGTTTCTAGATTTGAATGTCGACTTGAGTGCTTAAACTTTTGTTTTCTTCTCATTCATTTTTTACTTATTCTTTACATGTGATATTAGACTCTATTTAAATATGAGCATCTATGTTTCCCATACTTGGATAATAAATTATCATACACATTCATTTAGTTGATATTAATATCATCATATTGAGTTCCTTCATACACAACCTGCATACTATTCAGAACAAAGATGAATATAAATCCATTATATGACATAATTTTGTTTCCTTTATCTTATGAGAAATTTTACTTGTCCATGTCTTCTCATCTTCAATGTTGAGCATTCTAAATTATTAATATCACAACAAAAAATTATCATGGCTAAATAAAAGGGTTATGACCACTTGGTCTGTCCATTTAAATCTCCTCAGTTAGCCCACTTATCCATGCTAATCAATCTAACTAAATAAATATATTGTGTTAAAGATAGGAAATCAATAAGCCTTGTTCCCATTGCACCACATCCAATTAACATATATCAAATTTGTAACTCCCTTAATGTATCAAACTTAGAGGCATAATATAAGATAATTAGCAGACTCATAGCATATAATAAATTCATTAGCCAATAATGCTAGGTGAAATATTAGCATTTCATGGATAAAGGCAATGACAACTAAAAAATTTACTTCCAAGGAGTGCAAAATTTGTAACAAAAATTCATTAATTTATTAAATAAGATAAACTTGAAAGAACCATGAAAGAACTATGAAAGACTATTCAGACTCATCTTGATTTACCTTATTTTAGCCCAGCCCATCACATGAGATAGAAAGAAAATATGGAAGAGAAGCATGAAAGACTATAACTACTAATTGCAACTTACCATATTTTGATCCAACACATCACATGGAGATTGAACAATAATAATAAGTGAGATCGCTTAAGAAAATTAGTTAGCATTCTGAGCTTCGAATGAAAAAATGACATGAAGAGAAAAGAGTGTAGTAATTTTGAGATGAAAAGTATGTTCTTATTATGGTTTCAATAGAAAATAATTAAAGTAATAACTTTTATTTTGAATAATTTAACACTCCATATGTCCATTATTTCATTTATGAAAAGGAATTTAATTATCATCATATGAAAAGAAATGTGTTGTCTTCCCCATCATCATTATCATCAACAACATGATGAAGGGAGATGTTATCTTCGTTATTGTTCAAATTTAAAAAAAAAAAATTACATCGTCATCCTCCAATAATTAAAAGAAATATTTAATTATATGTGTCATCTTAAAAAAAGAAAAATTTAGACATTTTTCATCTTCATTAAATATAAAGCAATAAAAAACAACATATTAAAGACATTGACATCCAACCACTCCATTGCCTGCTAATTTTGGCAAAATTGAAACAAGTGTATAGAATAAGTTCAATGCTCTTTAATGGTACCTGATACACCTAAAATATATTTAGACAAGGAGATTTTGATACACCTAAAATATATAGTGTTTTTAGACGCATTTTTATACCTATTTTTGATGCTTTAATGGAAGATATTTGTATGTTTTTCTTTTAGTTACAAGTAAAAAGGTGGAAAATACTAAAATGTGTGAAAAAAGATCAAATTTGGAGCAAAAATGTGAAATTTGTGCAAAAGTGTTTTGGCGCCTACGCGCCAGTGAAACAGAGAAGGTCGCGCCTAAGCGCCAGAGGCAGTTATTTGGCGGTTTTCTTCATTTTTCTGAGTTTTGAAGAGACATTTGAGGCACCTATTGACTAAAGAGGGTGGTTATGACCACTAGGAATGAAAATATTATTAAAAGTATTATTAAAAGACTTGTGAAAGTAAGACTTGTGAAATAAGGCATCCCTTGGAGAATACATCAAATTTGGGCACATTTTGAAGAATTTCCTAGGTACCTCTTAGGAAATTTATAAAAGAAGGAAGTTGAGACATTTGAGATGGGTGCTTGAAGATGGAGAGAGTGTTGAGTCCTGAGAAGATTGTGGAGAATCTTGTGGAGAGATTCAGATACCACAAATTTACTTTTTTTTTTTTTAATTTTATTGTGAGAGTCAAGAGTGTTGTAAAAGAGAAGAGATTCAATGGAACTTCAAGAGTTTGGTGAAGGATTTGAGATAAGTTATTATCTTTATTTTTAAACTACTTTTGGTTTTAATTAGACTTCTTGTTGGTTTGACAATGATTTCTACTTTTAAACTAAAATGTGGTTTTGTTTTCTCCATGGATTCTGAGCAGTTTTCCTTATCTTTCTCCTTAAAATGATAAGTAATTAAAGTTTGGATGGAAGTTGTGGAGAGTATTAATCTTTAATGTTAAAAGAAGTTGTGATGATTTAATTCCATGCACTTCATTTATTTCTTGATTTGGCCTATCTAGATGTTAAATTTGTTGTGAGAACATGTAAGAACCGGGCTGGTATTGTCTCAGTCAACAATTGGAAAAAACCACATGAGGTTGTATGAATGAGAATATAATTCATATGATTTAGTACAAATAAATAGGGAAATAAACTTGGAAGGGTGTAGAGTTAGAGGACTTTTATCTTCCCTGCCTAGCCGGTCTTCAGAACTATTCAAACTTTAAATTAACCAATGTTCTTTATAACATCTCTAGTAAGGGTAAAGAATATTATTGCTCATATTTGGCCCAACAAAAATTGGCACAATGCAATTTGCATACTTCCACAACAGAATTCCTATACTTATTACTAATTCATGAAAAGGAGAAAAATATTTTCATATTCTGTGATTTTATTTTACATAAACTCAAGTTATTTAGAAGTTGTTACTGTTTTGTCAAAATATCAAAAATACCAAAAAAATTTGAATTTTAATTACTGTTAAATCATCTATAGTTTAAGTACTTGTTTTTTTGAAATAGAATTTTGTTGTTTGAAAGTGCATATTGCATATTGCCCCTGTGGGTTCGATATTCAGGTCTTAATAAAAAAGTCTTATATTACTCGATATTCAGGTCTTAATTACTTGATAATGATGTACTTGATAATGATGTGTATACTTGCGCAGTATCCCAATATATATATAAATTAAAGAGTTAAATTCTTATTTTCTTTAGAATCAAGTTTTTGATATTATTGTAAAGTAAGGAAATACAAGTGAAAATATAATCGCATACATTGTTATACTCTTGCATATAAGCAGTTATTGGGGATCAAGTTTTTGGCACCGTTGCCGGGGAAGATTTCAAAAATTAATTGAAAGTAAATTTTTATTTTAGAAAGTCTTATTTAAACTTTCAAAAAGTTATTTTAGGAATATCCTATTTTAGTATTTTATTTTATATGCGTTTTATAGTATATTATTTTATGTTAGTGTGTGCGTAGTTCAGATTCTGATAGGCTAGTGCCCTACGATTCTGGTTAGAAAAAACTGTTAAGAAAATCAGAAAAAAAATAAAAATAAAATTTTTGAAAAATCTAAAAAAATTACAGAAATGGCAAACCAAAATGATCAAAATGCTAAAATTCTTCAAGAATTTAGACCATTAATAGATTATGCCAACCATACGGTATTTGAACTTCATTGTAGTATTAAAAAACCTACAGTAGTGGCTAATTCATTTGAACTTAAACCTGTTATTATCCAAATGGTATCAAATAATTAGTTTGGGGGATCACCAACTGAATATCCAAATTTACATCTTGCCAATTTTTTAGAATTGTGTGTTACATTTAAATACGATGGTGTATCATATGATCCATAAGACTTAGGTTATTTCCTTTCTCACTGAGGAATAAAGCTAAGATGTGGTTGTATTCTTTAGCACCTGGGTCTATCAGAACTTGGGGTGATTTAGCGCAAAATTCCTTACTATATATTTTTCACGATAAAAAATTGTGAAGCTTAGAAATG